TTATTTATGTTCTCTAAAAATTCACCATTTCAAAATGTATTTTTTGTTTCCCCCAAAATCACATTAAAATGGAACCCAAACAGAGGCTAAGATTATAGATGTTTGCACGAGAAATATGCATTGCATTTTTTGAATTGTTTATAATATAATTTAAGTTGGTCAATTGTGCTTTTATCACATTTTAATAGCAATACTTACATAGAATAAAGATGCGCTGCCAAACTTGACAAGATACTAGATTTTTTATTTTTTATTTATTTTTAACTCTAATATTATGCAGTATTGTATATTGTCTTCCCAAACAAATGAAACTAGTAAATAACTTAATAAAAAGGGAAATTTACGAAATACACTCTACATTTCGTGTGTATTTACAATTTACATTCCATATTTCACAACTCGATGAAGGTTTTGAAAAAATTATGGTCTTCATATATTTCAAACTACAATAAAAGATATAATTTATTTTATGTTGAGGTTAAAACTTTATAACATACATAATATTGTTTAGTTTTTTTAACGTTCTTTTTCATTTTTACGAGAAAATTATACAACAGAGAAGAAAAATACAAGTATTCTCGACAATTTACAATTCTGAGTAAAAATGAAATTAAAAAAATGTTATATTAATAGTGTAGTTAATGTGTGAAAAAAAATAGCTTTGTCAAAATACTTTGACTGATATAAAATTAATTTATGAAATAGAGAGATGTAAGATAGAAAAAAAAATTATTATTTTTGGTTGAAAGAGTAATAGAAATTAAAAATTTGTTAATTAAAATTTGCATGATTTTCCACGGATAAATAAAAAACCCTACTTTTGCATGATTTTCCACACAACATATGTAATCTTATTCAATATAACTAGAGTTTACGCACACATTTCTCAACAAAAGACAAGATTCAACTCACACAACAAAAGTCACACAATGCAAAACATAAGTATAAATTAACACACACGCATACAGAAAAACCATATGCCTTGATTCAAGCTTCCTCGTGTCCGATCAGGGCCAGGAGCAATTTCTCGTAGTCTCCAGTCGTGTCCTTAGCAATGGCGCGATCCAGTGGCACACTGTTCCTCTTCTGATACTCGTCCTTGATTATTTTCATGTCAATCTCAGCTCGAGTGGCAACAACTCTTGTGAGCGCTCCTTCATCCGTCCCTTGCTTGTTAATTGCAAGGCGGATAGCCTTTTCAAAGTACTTCTCAGGGCATATCAAACACTCAATAGTTCCCCTTAGTATTGAAAGGAACTCGTCCTTGGGGTCGGCTTCTAAATCCTGCGAATAAAATTTCTTTCAGATAACGCGTTGAGCTGGAAAATTAACCGTGAATAAAGTTCACTCGCATTACCTTGTTTATATCATTTCCAAATTGATTTTTGTATTGATTAACCGTCGCATTGACCTGTGCTTTGCTCCTCGTTGCCAAAATCCTAATGAGGTCATCATCATTGTATGCCTTCTCCGAAATTTTCTCATGCAGTAGTTTAGCTTCTGTTTTTGCAAGCGTCAAGTTAACTTCGTCTCCCCCATACCGATATGAGCTCACCAAGGGGACCAAAAGCTGAAATAATCAACAACATGATAAATAAATTCTGTTCAAGGAACACACACGTCCCCTTCCGACTATCCTTTCTATTTAAAAAACTTATCATTTTCTTGTAACCATATTATCATCTTAAGTGATGTCTATTTTCCAAGGGAGTTATGCTACCTGAACAGGCGATCCGTACAGGCAGCATGACAGATGCACGCGTGATTTGAAAAACTATTCTTCAAATTCGCACACGTGCACCTGTAAGACTTCTTGTACAGATTGCAAAATTCTTTCCAAGGGCAAGTAGGATAAGAAGAACTAAAGTAGATAGGACTGAATCATACAATGAATAAGATTTAACTTCTTCATTATTAATATGGTCCAATACTATCTAATCCACCTAACCAAATATATTCTAATGCTAACATTTCTATAGATTCTCCCATGTGCTCTCTGTAAACCGATACTATAAAAATACCGGTACTAGAAATCTTGAAAGCTATAAACAGTCGATATAAGATTATTTACTTTGCGGAAGTCTCCGTGTGTGTTATAAGCAACATCTTCCTCGAGCGATCTCTTGAAACGAGCATGATAAGCTTCCCTTGCCAGAAGCAGATCTTTTGGAGACCTTGNATAAGCAACATCTTCCTCGAGCGATCTCTTGAAACGAGCATGATAAGCTTCCCTTGCCAGAAGCAGATCTTTTGGAGACCTTGTACAAGCTATTTCCATAAGGACCTGATTGCTCGATGTCCACCTCTTCGTAGCTTCGTTAGCCAAATAAGCATCGCGTTCGCAAGGGTCCAATGTCCAGAGCAATACAAGCCTCTGATACACATACATTTAGAACATCATGAAATGTATTAGATCGATCAAACGACAGATTATATCCTTGTTCAAAATTGATCGATCTAAATTTATCATCCCTTTAAGATTATTTTAGAAATCAAACCTCAAAATCATTTGTAAGTTCCTTATCCAAAGCTTTGAGCAGATCTTCTCCATAAGTCTCGGCATAAACCTGCCTAATCAACTTGCGCTGGGCGGCATTTCTGTGACCCAAAATCGAGATGATCAAATCCTCATTTGTTCCCCATCCTGAAAGGAAATGATTTTGAACATTACCAAATCCATCAAATGATTTATTTAGATCATAAATAAATCAACAACAAAAATACTCGCAGTTTAGATCATCATCAACCCGATCCATATGTTTGATCTATTAACTAGACTAATTTTCCATAGATCAAATGCCATTGAGCTTTGACAAAACCAAGAACAGAACAAATAGAACCATAATTCTTGTATTGAAATGGATCACATACTCCTCTCCTAAAAAAGAAGTGATCTTAGCACAAAGCGAAATCATGATCAATCCACATCAGGAAAAAACAAACGATCAAGATTCATCAATGGAAATTATATGCATAATTAATGAAACCTGATCAGACAATTAAGATGATCATAATCGAGAGAAAAGCGAAAGAGACCTGCAAAGGCTTTGCGGAGTTGTTCACAATCTTCAGCGACGGAGGGAACATGTGCTGGAACACAGAGACTCGACATTTTTGCAGTGAGAGTGAGTGAGTGTGAAAACCGAGAACGCGTCTCTGCTCCTTTTCTTTATATCAATTATTACGAAGTGGACAACGGGATATGGACATCCATTTATAAATGAATATGGTCGTGTGTGGTCCCGCCGGGTGGTGCATACATGCCACGTGACAGCTTAGTATCCTTCTACCTTACGTGATTGTTGACTAAGCCCCTTTCGCCCATTCATTTTCATTTCATTTTTTTCTCTTATTTCTAGTTACATAATCTTCCATAAAATAATATTACACGTAAATCGAAATTTTTTTATTCTTTTTCAATCACTCATGTTCCAAAAAAACACTATTCCATTCATTTTTATTTCCACAAAATGAGAGCCAAACAGGGGTTTAGAGTGTCTCTGAAAATTCTCTATTTCTAAATAATATATTCTATTATTTGGAAAGTATCTATAAATTTAGAGAGTTAGAATTTTGAATTATCCCAACAAACTCTTTATATTTAACAATTAATTTTACTTTAAAACACTTTGAATGCATTTAACTATAGAGGGTGAACTCTCTTTTGAAATTAAAATGTTAATTTAAAATATTTATTGGAGCGTGATTTTAAATGTTGAATTTTTAAAATAGAAAATATCTCATATTTAAAGAGTTCTTTTGGAAATGCTCTAAATAGATATATAATTGAAGTTAATTTTTAAAAATAAATTTTAATAAAAATAATTATTTTAAAGTATGCAGAATTTAAAAATAGAAAAAAGGTTATGAGTCAAGTGCATAATTTTTATTAAAAGAATCTATGAATGGCTAAAAAGGTATATATATAAATTTTAAGAAAAAGTCACGGGTCAAGTGCATAATTTTTAGGGATAATTGCAATAGAAGTTTCAAACTTTTGAAATACTAGCATACTTTTTACAAATCGTTGATTTGTTAGAGTTGTCACCTCTTACCTTTTCAAATGTTGCATGTAAAGCCTTTTTGGATAATTTTCATCCACAATTTCGTCAATTAACCAAAATTTTATCATTAACTATATTTTTAATATTTTTTTAAAAGGACAAAAGAGTAACTTTATATTTATCACATTAAATAATTCAACTAATTAAATAAAAAAATACGAAAATAGGACACAAAATAGGGATGGCAATAGGGAGGGGCGGGTTGCATTTCCCCGCCCCAGCCCTCGCCTAGCATTTTTCCTGCCTAGTATTCACCCTGTTACCTGTTTAAGGCGATGTCGGGTGAGGTTGGGCGTTCGCCCCGTTTACATACCTGTTTTATTTTTATTCTTTTTTTTTAAGTATTTGATAATTCATTTTAGAGTAATTGGCACAAAACGTCTCTACCTTTTAAGGTTTTTGGGGAAACATCATTATCTTTCATTTTTTGACATTTTCACTCCTACCTTCTACCTTTCATTGTGCAAAAGGACATTTTCATCCGTTTTTGACGATTTTACCCCTAATTCAAATAAAACAAAAATAAAAGAAAAGAAAAAATAAAAAACTAATTGCAACCATAATCCCAAATTTTCAAAAAATTACAAATCAGTCAAAAATCAATTGCATCATTTCATATTGAATAAATACAGGAATTTTCTAACCATAATCTATTTTAAATAATCAACTAAATACATTTGTTGTAATCCATTAAAAGTGCAACATTACCCATCTCACTTTCCAAATCATACAACATCGAAATTTTCCTACAAGCCTTGAGAATTGCATTCGTTGAATATGTAGCTCCCCGAAAATTTTATAGAATAAACTTAATTTCAATATGCTCACGGTTTCATTTAAGTTTGGAGTTAATTATGATTAATGCGACGGGTGGTCAAAGATGCTCCATGATATCACGTGCCCCATGCATGCATATCAAGTTTTTAAATTAATTGCATTGTTACTAATACTATTGTTCATATCGCATCTAAATTAAATTATTAGATTTACTTTAGTGATTATAACGATTTTTATATATGAAGAAAATTTATCAATTGTCAAATAGTACCTTTTGTAATTATGCCTTTTATCTTAACCATAATTGTTTTTGCAACTTTGAGGATTTGATTACGTGTGCAGTATAAAAATCTAGGGAATTTAGCTGTAAGAATGTCCATTTTTCTTTTGGAAAATCATTCACATGTAAAATTTGAGGGAGCAAATCTTGCCTTGGTGCTGGAATCTCATTTACATTCCTATAATAAATATCACGGTTAATCAAATAATTGT